TTTGAACTGATTTTCTTAATTTCTTCGCAATTATCTCGCTTGGTATATCGCCCATGAATTGTAGTCGTATATAAAAAGGCTTCTATTTTACAGATAGTGAGCAGTCCTTTTTCGTTTCCTTTGTCATGTGTTGCTTGATAAATTTGTCGGGATAGCCATTTTCAATGAAAATATCATATACAATGTCTAATTCATCTTTGACTACTTCTTCTGAGCATGTAGCTCTAACTCTGTGGCTTAGGGTCTTCACTAAATTTCTTTTGTACTTGATAGGAACGAAGCTGTGAAAATGTGCATATTGTCCTGTCCAAGTGCTTTTTCTATGCAAATTTCTTTTAATGCTGCCATCTGGTTTTCTTGTAAGTAGGACATCCAGGTAGGCAATTGTGTCTTGGGATTTCTCTTTGCATGTGAATTTCATAGCCGAATGTACTTAATTGAATTCATTAATTATTGTACTCCTATCAGAACCGTTATCAAAAAGAATAAAAGTATCATCTATATATCGGCAATAAATGAGAGCTTACTGATAAGGTTGTTCAGAGTTCCATTTTCCAGCTTACTTAGAGAGAAATCAGCCAGAACTGGACTCAGTGGTAAGCCCATCGACATCCCATCCACTTATCTGTAAAGCATGCCATTTAATTTGAAATTTACATTCATGGATGTCCTACTTACAAGAAAACCAGATGGCAGCATTAAAAGAAATTTGCATAGAAAAAGCACTTGGACAGGACAATATGCACATTTTCACAGCTTCGTTCCTATCAAGTACAAAAGAAATTTAGTGAAGACCCTCAGTTACAGAGTTAGAGCTACATGCTCAGAAGAAGTAGTCAAAGATGAATTAGACATTGTATATGATTCTTTCATTGAAAATGGCTATCCCGACAAATTTATCAAGAAACACATTACAAAGGAAACGAAAAAGGACTGCTCACTATCTGTAAAATAGAAGCCACTTTATATACAACTACAATTCAAAGGCGATATACCAAGTGAGATAATAGCGAGGAAATTAAGAAAATCAGTTCAAAGAACTTTTAATGCTGGCGAACTACAGGTCTTGTTCTCTACACGAACGTTGGTGCTACCTCGACTGAAAGATGAAGTACCTAGACTGGCCACTTCAAATTGTGTCTACCAATCCTACTGCGCTTGTGGAGCGGGTTATATTGGCCGTTGCTCTAGGAACTTGATTTTTCATGCTCGAGAACATCTGCCACTATGGCTAATTAAAGGTGTAGTGAAAAGCATTTACAGTTCGATATTGGACCATCTGGTGCAAACCGGCCACGAAGCCAACCAGCATTGAAGAATCCTTCTCTATAATATACCGGGTGCCTGATAAATTACCGAAATCATCGAAGCACCACATGCTCCAAACAGTAGAGCCTTTTGCGATTCGCCTCAAACAACCAGCGCTCTGTGTTCAAAAGAAGCAAGTCCAGCCCCTAATACTGCCCTGGCCTTTAGCAGAAACTATAAACTCATGAATTTGTACTATTATCTTTCCTAATTCTTCTGACATTCAGCTTATTTTATGTTGATGCGATTCAGCTGTAATCTATTAATATTATTGATTTGATGTTATTTAAACATTAATGTCGTTCATAACACTAACTCATTCATTCACTATAATGTATGTATAACTGTAGAGCCTGATGATGAGTTTATCGAAAAGTGTTCTCTTTGTTCAATATCGATTCTTTGGTAAATTTCGCTCATTGCTCTTTGATGTTTCGTTGTATTGGTTTGTGTACTATATATGTTCCCACTGAGTTCAATGTTCCTGGCGTTGTCATAAATGTTTCTCATATTTTGTGAAATGAATTTTTTGTGGTATGTTAACATCGTTTTTGCTGTTAGTTTGATTCCGTTGCAGATGCGTTTTGGTAATTTTTGGAGATCATCTGTATTCCTGAAATACGGTTAATAGATACTTCTTTCATATTTTAACAAGACTGGAGTTCTGTTGTTTCTCGACTGCAGTAAAGAGTTTTTTTAGACAGTTTCTTTTGTTTGTTATTGGTTTGCTACTGTCAATGTTCAGCATTTTATCTCTGTGGTTTGGCACCCCGTATACGCGTCTTTCCAGATTTTTTATTTCTATTCACTTGATCAAGATATCTGAGAGAGTACTTCGGTTGTTTGATTCTTCTTTTCTTGTAAATTTGATGCTGTTACTCACTTTTTTGGTTGGTCTGTGAGTACTTTTCAAATCTTTCCTATTAATTATGATAAATATGTCACTTAAAGCATTCCGATTTTTGGTTCGACTATATCTAAGTTTAAGGTTTCTAGTCTGTGTGACAGTTTTTGCAGTTAGTCTCGAAATATGACATATCTATGAGCTCCATCAAATTTCAGCAGTGTGTTTTTCATTGTTTATTGAGATAATCAGCGATATGAAGAAGTCATCAGATACATTCTTTTAGCATTTTCTGTCCACATGAAGTGTATAATTTAGCAACGTCGAAGAAAACGTGATTTCTCTGTCATTGGTTTTATCCTTTTTGATTTTTTCTTGAAACTATGTAAGTGATTTGATAGAATGTTCACAGAATTTTGTCAGATATTTAAGATTTCTGAAGGCGTGCTTGAATAACAGCGCCATTTAAATTTCTGTCTTACATAATTCATTAGACTTTATCCGTTTCTTATTGTTCTAATCATTCGATTATGTATCTGGATTGTCAAATTTATCCACATGCATTTTTAATTGGCTTTTAACCCTCCATTCTCCGGGGATTTCGGAAAAATTTCATAAGGGATTAGTTTACACTACAGATTGAACGCCGTTGTGTCAAATAATTCACTGTGGATTACTATTACACATGAATATCATGGACGAAGACGTTTTATTAGGCAATAAATTGGGCTGGGAATTGTGCGCATTATGTAAACATTTTGTCCAGAATAAAGTTATCATTAGAGATGTTGAGTTAAAGTTCTTTCTGTAACAGCAGAAAGCAGACATGGAAGCCAGGGTGGAATTTTAATCGATCAAACAGCTATTTATATCCATACAGTTTATATTATTTAATCAATCACTGAGCGTATGATTTGGGTTTACATTGAATGACATGGAATAAAACCTTCAAATACATATAGTATTCTGCTTCTAACGCAGCATTGAACTAAGGCAATATGTGAGAAAAATGTTCCAGACAATGTATCGAAACCACACACTCAAGTGAAAGGGTTAATAGTAATGAATTGTGCAGTCTGTGTAAATTTTGTTTGACATAAAAATGAAATAAAACCGATCTGTAACTAAGAGTGCTCCCTCAGCTGATGGATTAGTTACGGAGCTTTCGTCGTCCTTCTCAACAACATCTTCAGCGGAAGTTTCAGCACATAGCGAACTTATTTGAATTTTTCCATGAGTGATAGAATTGCGTCTCCCGGTAACCATCTTTACATCTGTATTGATTATTTTTTATTGACTTGGATTTTAAACTTTCTCGTCACATGATTTACTTTTTATTAGTTGATATATTCGGCCTATATTAACATGCTTGTTAATTGCATATTCGTTTGAGTACCAGGCTTCTAGGAATTCCCTGACTGCACTTTTGGTGTTTCCTCTGTCGAAATTTTGACATTGTCCTAATCATCAAATTGGTGTCTATAATTATCTACATGTATTGATATGAAAGAATATATATATATAATTTCTTTTCACGGCTGATTTGTGTTCTTGGATTCTAATTCGAAGGAGACGCCCGCTTTGATCAATGTAATGTCTATCACAGTTCACGCGATTTATTTTGTAAATGGTATTAATTTTATTTGCTTTTTCTGTTGGATCTTTCGGTTTGCATGATATTGAATTAAGATATTTGATTGGTTTGTGTGCTATATCTATATCAAATGTTTTCAATATTCTACCTGTTATTTCTGAGATATTTTTGATGTATTGTAGGAGGAATTTTCTTGTGGTCTTTAGTGATGATTCCTTGTTGGTGTCGTGATTCGATTTTAAACACTTTTTGATGAAATTGTGCGGATATGTGGAGTACGTAACAATGTGATTGTACACTTTTTGGTTATTTGTATAAATTCGAGATATTGTACATAATTTTTGTTTAAAACGCTTCTTGTTGAAATATACATAATTTCCGTGTACAATTGAAAAATACACTCTGCTGTTGGAGACTTCATCTTCTCCCTGGTTATTTCTGCTTACTTGCTCAACTCACACCGTGTTGTATACTTCGGATTTATTGTAGGAGCCTACTACTCTAAACCGAAGAGATTTCTACAACCGGAACACAGCAGCTACAGCAGACGCAGTCGAAACAATTAACGTGCCCGTGGATTATATAATTAATTTGTAGCAGAGGACTTAGACTGTATATCCAAGTAATCCTTTTTGTTGCTATAACTCGTCACTGTATTTCTGGTAATATATTGTGATTTAACACTCCATTGACTTGGATTATTAATTTTATATTTGGAATGTTAGTGAACTCTAATATTAGTCCCCACAAATTAATTTATACAAAATAACCAAAAAGTGTACAATCACATTGTTACGTACTCCACACGTATCCATTCTTTTTAGAGACCGTTTGTAGGTATTTTTCTTTCATTCTTTTTAACTCTGTAAAGCTACATTGTGTTTGAATTCTTTTAAACAATGTCTGCACACAGTTTCTTTTGTAACTGGGTTATTGCTAGTAGAGTTGAGTATTTATTCTTTGTGTGTTGATTTTCCTAGACAAATGCTGGTAGTATTTTGCTCTTTTTCTTGTTGATTCGAGACTGTAAAGGCAGATGTTCAGGTGAGTGAGTTAGTTCCAGACTTCGTTTTAGAATTCCATTGTCGGTGATCAAAAGTTTCATCTTCTGCTTTTTACTTAATCCAGCTAAAATATATATATATATATATTCACTGGCAATGACTCATTTAAATTTATTCTGTTATTGATTGGATGCAGATTGATTAGTTTAATCTCAGACAGACAAATACACATGTGACAGAAAATATCACAATGGTCTGTGGTAATACAATGATCAAGAAAGAATGCCTTATTCTGAAACTCTGTTTGTTATGCATAACAATCCGCTTAACATTCAGTGAAACTTTGTTATCTTCTGATTTCCTGAGGATTGACGAGACAATAACCTGTCTTTCAAACTCTTGTGAAGATATTCAAATCATGGAATTCGGCTTTTGTGGAGCACAAGCAAGTCTCACCTATGAACATTTGGATCAAGGAACTTTAACAGTTAAATTTGAAAGAATTTATGAGGTAAATGGCTTTTTCTTTCTTTAAATTACTTTGTATTCCTACTGGAACATTGGGCTTTTAGCTTCAGCTTTGAATTTTCACTTGCAGGGGTGTTGCTGTTTTTAAGAGGTGGGGTTGTTAACCATCCGCCCTACATTCCTTCTTTACTGGTCCTACTATCAGCTAAGCGAGATTTATGACTGCATCGGCCAGGAATTGTAACCTAGACCACATGCGTGGTCAGCGAGTATCATGCCGTCGAAGCACTGACGCTTGAGGTAAGAGTATAAATTATAGATTGAATTAAATCAAATAGTGTATAACACAGAAGTATGTATATGGTGGTTGCATAAATATTGTATACCGATCTCCAAAACCTTTTTTGTACATCATTAGCAAATTGGTCGAATATCACCACATTTGGTAGCTTGTTGGATTCTGCACAGTGTTTCTAACCTTCTCCTCACAGTTCTGTTCTTCAATTACTTTTTCAGTGTCTGAAAAATATAACTGCTTTCTGAATTCGTTTTCTGATATACTACTTACATCTGATTATAAGTAGCACTCACTACACTCGCCTCTTTATTATATAGTCGTCCCTGTAACCGCCTCGACCTCTCAACAGAGGTTCCATCCCTCTGTTCTTCGGGTTTCTCGTCTTGATATTCTTGTGTCAATCTTTGGAGCAGACGAGCGTTTACTCTTTTTTCTCCATCTCTCCTGTTTATTGTTTATACTGCCTTCCGCTTCATTTATATTTCCTGAATAGCTTGTTTCCGCTCACTTGTCCGTCTCTTATTGTCCCAATGTTGTTGTTGTGGCCAAGTCTTTTATTGCACCGGTCAGCGTGGTTTTCTCCCATGCATTAGCTGGAAGGACGATTGTTTTATTTTCCCCTGTATTGTGCCACAATGTGCTGGTAATACCAACGGTAGGTCACTTTCCCAGTTGCCTCTCTTCATAGCTGTACACTCCTTTATTGTACAATTATTCTTTTCTGTTAGGCCGTTTGTCTAAGGATGATATGGCGTTGCTCTGATTCTTTTAATACTCAATATTTCCAGGCGATTCTTGAACTTCTCTCAAAACAAGGACCTTGATCCGTCAATCTCATCTTTGATACACCATGATCCACCACAATTAATCCAATTACTGCCTCGGTTACGGTCCTAATGGGCTGATCTGGAACTGCCATGGCGTTCACCCACCGCTTGGAATGTTCCGTTATCACCAAAATGTATTGATTTCCACCTGATTTTTGAGGGGAAGGACCACATATGTTCAGTGACCACAATTCACCGACTTATGTTACGGGAATCGTTTTTAGCGGTAGTGGAATGCATTAGTCACCCTTCATCAACTGGAACTGAGGGCAGTTGAGTACGTAGTTTACAACATCACTCCTCCTATTTGGCCAGTAAGCACTTTGGTTCACTGGATCCTATGCGCAACGCCTTCATGGGCTGGTAAGAAGCATTCTTGAATTACTCAACGACGAAGGCTCTTAGGGATCACCGTAGCCCAGATGCCATGATTGTCTTGCCAAGTTAGGACACCGGAAGCGTTTATTTTGTCTGTGTGTGATGCAGCAGTATCTTTAACTTTGTATTCTCTTCTGACGCCTCATTTCTTTGTCTTCACTTATTATATGGATGACTCCTAAGAGTAGGATCCAACTTCTGGCGGCGAACAAAATGTAAAGGATCTTCCTCTAAAGAGTTTACTGCATATGCTACCTCTGGTAGTTCGGCCTCCTTATCTGATATTGACAAGTAGTCAGGTATCACATTTTCTTTTCCTGGAATCAGTCCAATCGTGAATTCATGCTCTTGTAGGCGTGACATCCATCGTGACAAGTTCTCTTGTGGGTCCCTTGCTCTTTTCAGCCACTTCAGAGGTTAGTGGTCTGTCTCAATGTGGAATCGCCGGTCGATCAGGTATGGTTTCCAATTTTCTTGTGTCCATACAATGGCTAAACACTCCTATTTCACCGTAGAATACTTTCGCTCTGCATGTGTCAACACATGGCTGACATATTCAACAAACCCGTCTGTTTGTCTTAGAACAGCACCTACACCATAATTACTGGCATCTGTGGAAACTGGAAACTACCTCCCAGGAACTGGCAGTTTGAATGTCATCTGTTAACCATCTAACAGCTTTTTAATTTGATCAAAGGTTCGCTGTGCCTCCTCCATCCGCGTGAATTTCGGATTATTCAGCAACCTATATGGGGCACTTGCTATCTCGTTGAAATTTTCGACAAGCCGAATGCATAATGCCACTCTTACTAAAGTTTGTCTGAGCTTTATTTTCGAATTTGGTACTATTTATTGTTTATTTTTCTTTACAGCTTGATTCCACACTGTATTTTTGGTACAAGTATGGAATTTTCAGCATAGATATCGGTAACCAAAGTTGGCAGGCCGACCATAGATATCAGGTGTGCGTCGGCAGGGGATCGAACCTCGGACCATGTGCATGGTCGGCGAGAGTTCTTACCAGTGTGCCACCGACGCTCTGGTTCTGACGGTTAGAATTTTCTCAAGTAATGGTCGCATTTCTCCATTTCTCATTCTATGATGCGTGAGGACAACAATGTTTTCAGCTACTTAAGACTTGTTCTTATTAGTACACAGTGCAAATTCATCAATCAATTGTGTTCTATATGGTCGCTTTCTGTTTCACTATACACAACCAAATCGTCTTTATGTACTTTTACGTCCTTCAAACCTTCCAGTAATAACGTAATTATTCTTCTGTACGTAAATTAGGCACCTACCAATCCAAATGGTATTCGTCTAGACTGGCATTGTTTCTGTTCAACCTTGAACAATGTTTTATTTTAGTCACTTTCTGTTATTGAGATCTGATAGTAACCCAGTTTAGGTGAAAAATGGTGAATAACTTAGCCTTATGAAGTCGATCCATGGTTTTTGTTAGGTTGAAATTGCACACTGTTTTACTTCGGTGAGTCTATTTCCCCATACTGTTCTCTAACTAAGAAAGAAACTGCTACTCCTGTGTCTATCAAGCAGATTAGTTCTCTCCCACTAACTCGTAATTGTATGTACACGGTACCTCTTTCGACTGATCCCACAGCCCCCAAACTCAAGCGAGAGAAAGGAAGAAAACTGTATTGCATACAGTTTTGCCTTCGTTTTGGGCAATTTCTCTTCCAGTGATCGCTCCCTTCGCAAGCAAAATATCTATTGTTGTGTCTCTCCTGAATCTGTGTAGCTGCTACTTGTTGTTTGAACTTTTCAATGTTCTTGGATTCTTCGCATCCCTTCATCACTGGAACAATATGCAAAGTCATCAGTTGACTTGAGACTCTTGCTATTTCGTGAACATCCATCGGCTGAACTGTGTTAGCTAGCTGCAACTGATGAACAGACTCCTTAGAGACCCATTTGTTTAGCTGGGAAGCAATCAACTGCTCTCGCTAGTCTTCATCCAAGATGGATAATGCGCGCCGCAAAGGATTTGCCTGCATCACGAGAAAACCAACGAATCCCCGTTCTAGCCAAGCCTCAGAGCCCGGAACTTCTTCATTGCTCCTTGTCTATCTGTGGGGTTTTCGAACTCACATACGGGCCTCTCAAAGGCGTTGTCCCACATTGTCTCACCTTCAACTTCCCTAGGGTCGTCGTAGGCGGCTTTTGCATGGCCTGTCAACACAGTCTCCAGGATGACGGCCTTCGCCCTCTGCTCCCGCATTCCAACTAGGTTCGCGACTGCTTAGAAATCCCTGACAGATGTCCCCGAATCTCTCTCCTCAAACACCTGCGGCCATGGCACTATCATCTCCGGTAGAAGCAGTGACATCTATTGTAAGGAAAGAAAGTCCGATGAGGCTCGAAGAAGTATTTATGAAATGTAGAATATAGCGAAATGATAATGGACGATAACATATCAGAGAAATAATAATTACACAAAGAATAATTGTGACTTTCATAATTTTTCAGATGATATGTTGTAAATATATTTGCACCATTGATAACGTCTTCGAACAATATCACTACCTGTTTTCAACCAATGGTTCTTAGCAAATTGACAAACCCAGTCAGTATGTGTACAACTTGTCACTTGACATGGTCAAATTATCACATATGCAACACAGAAGTTATAAATTAGTCTTTCATTTTACCAAACGTTTTCGAGTGATCAGTGTGTTTCACTTGTAATATGAATAGAATGCAAGGTTTACATAAGCATAAAGGCTTAGATGGAATAGCATGATTTGAAGCTGCAGCAGAAAGAAGGCAAATTACCACAAACTGAACAAAAAAGGTATTTATCAAAATTCGGTGTACACTGTTAAACTGCCAAAAGTTCCTACGATTGTGAGCAGTGAACATATCTAAATCATTTCTAGTTGAAGTTATCGAAAGCATTCCATTCAAACAACATCATTCGTTTGAAGTGGATGGAAAATCCTCGAAACTTCTTTGTTACTATTATTATTATCATCATCATCAATTATTGGTTGGTTTTATAGGAAGGGTGAAAAGCAGAAGACCATGTGATGGGGAAACTAAAGTCTGTGTGTAATCATTATTTTTTTGATTACAGCTTGATTCTACACCGTATTTTTGGTACAAGTATGGAATTTCCAGCGTGGATATCGGTAGCCCAAATTTTGCAGGCCGACCATAGATATCAGGTGTGCGTCGGCAGGGGATCGAACCTCGGACCATGTGCATGGTCGGCGAGAGTCCTAACCACTTTGCCAGTCATTAGGAAAAGATTTCAGAGAACTGAGTGGAGTAGAAGTGTACTGTTAAAGCCCTATTTTCTACTCAGATAGAAAAGAATAAATATTAGTAAGAATATTAATAATACTGAAGGAGTGTATGTTATAATCACACTCAACTTATTTCTAAAGATGTGAAAGATATTAGTTAAAAAATCACCCACAGAAATGACTGGTTTTTTTCTAGACCACAGGAATAAAAGTAATCTATCGTGACCAGTGCTTCCTATCAATCTTATTCCGTACATTACGGTGATGCTAGCGAATATTTCTTCTGAACTAGGAGCCAAGAGACTTGATAAAGGAATGCCCATTAAGAATTTTTATATAGCTATGTAACAAAATTATGCACACCTCATCTTTAAATCAGCATTTGCACAGATCCTCCGTATTGTGCTACTTCTGTCCTGCATATTATGTTTCTTTGCGTTCCTTTCACGCCTCCCATTTATCTCCACAGCCCTATATCACTTTGCTTTCTCTGACGCCAAATCTGTCTTCCTGCTGTTTGATGTTTATATGCTGATGAACGTCTTCATACATACTACTGATTAATCACATCAGTAGCACACACTGAATATATATTTTATCGAATTTCTTGAATGTTTATGTTTTGTGGGAGTTTAGGTAGTTGAAAAACTTCTGAACAGACGCAATAAAACAGAGTACTTTGCATTCGTTTCCTTATTGGTTACAGAAGAGAACTCTATACAATGGTTAACATTATTTCGAGATGTAAGTAATTTACTTATTTCAATTTCAGTTTCCCCGTCGACTGGTTGGACTGAAATGCTCTGTCTCGGGTTGACACGTCGACTCCTAGCGCAAATGCTTCGGCGATGTTTGCTAATGTAACTTGAAGTCAATCGGGGGATGGCAACCAGCAGTGGAATCTGAGGTGAACATTTCATCCTATTTGGGACTCATCAGATTGATGTACCTGCATTCCCCGGTGGATGCTAATGTTCCCACCGAGGCTCAAACCCAGTACTCGAAGTTTCAATCGCCAGAGCGTTATTCACTAGACCCTTCGGCCTACGATAGACACCTCTTTTGCAACGGGTAGTATCGAATATTTAATTCAATTTAGATTTTCTCGTCGATCGAATCTACCGGCATTACAGGTTCTAGCCTCGGTGTTAACACCATCACCCACTGAGGAATTCAGGTACATCCAGTGACGATTCTCAAATAGGAAGAAATACACATCCTGGACTCCACTGCTAGTCACCATCCACCAGCTGACTGTAGGCAATTTTGTCTGAAATACTGTTGTCCCTTTCCTGTTTCAAAAGATAGATATTTGAATGTAAAGGTGGCCTTTTCATATTCACAGCTGCAACGGCCACTTTCTTTAAGTATTTAAAAGGACAAGAAGAACTGATGAACGTTATATACATTCAATGATGATGAGCTCAGCTTTAAAAGTGTGAAATGGCTGTCCAGTATTTGGCTTCCAAATAAAACTGCAGTAAGAATCTCACCCGTCGAACTCTGTACGTCATAAATTGCAAAGTAATCTGCAAATTTCATTCTGCGGATTTGCAAATTGTTAACTTAGTCTATGATGGACTGCCGCATATCAAGCATGCAACGCAAACTACTCAAGCTTTTGACTTCTTAAATAAGTAATGTGGTTAACGCATTCAATCACCCCAGGACCTGTCTTTTAAACAAGAGAACAATGTAGATCAGTCCTGTATCATCTTAAATTTGGTAGGGACCAATGTCAAAAATTGTCATAGTTTTACTCAAAATGAACAGAAGACTGTGCGTATTTACAAGTTAAATTGACATTAATTCCAAAGGGAACAGAAATACAAAACGCGTGCACAAACTGCTTTAGTACTGAGATGAACAGTTCTGGTGAGCTTAAGTTCATAGGTCTTTGTAATGATCATGGAGTACAGTTATGATCATATCTCGCCAATTAATACCATGAGCAAGTAATCTGTAAGTAGCTTGTTACAAATTAGCTGGTGACTGATTGTTTTTCCTATAGCTGACGGCGAATGTAATGTAAAACAAATTCTCATTCAATTACCTTTGTAACAATTACCCTAGTTGTTTTATTGTAATTCAGATAAACAGTAATCAGAGTTAGGAATTCAACTTTTGGGTTCATGATCATATAATGACAGAATCATAGGTATTTGTGTTGCTTGGTGAGTTTAGAATATCTTCAAAAGTACTGGCGTGTTTAGTATACGACTGCTAACTAGCAAGTACTTATAGAAGCATCTTTAAATTATCCATAAAACGAATATCCATGATACTTACCCAACAATGTCTACTATCACCTTAACTGAGTTATGCAATCTTTTTCACTGAAATAGTTAATTAAGTGGTCCTACTGTAGATCAAGACCACGTCAGAAATTACTTATAGAATACTGAAACCCTTTGGAGTAGTTGTTGCTAACATCCTGTCCGTCAAGTGTACACAAAAATAACCGATAGAAAAAGAATTCACAGGTACTATCAACAGTGAAAAAGCATTGTATCGACCAGAGCAGATATCCTCTTTATGTTTGCATACAAACATTTATTCAGTTTAATCCACTAGGAAAACTGTGTACATTAGTTAAACTGGTAACAAGTAAAACTCTTAGACAGAGAAGATACAAAGAATGCGAGCAAATTCCTGGGAACCTTGTACTCAAGTCAGCTTGCAGTTAATGGAAATATTGATACCGAAGACAATGTTTTGTAGTTATTCACCAAGTAAAAGGAGGATGTCTCAACAATGGAGAATTCTGAACGCGGTATCTGAAGATGTTTAGATGAACAATAAAAGCTCCCTAATCAGTTAAAAAAACAATAGCGGGAGATAAACTCTTCAAAGTTTATTTCCAGATGATCTGATTCGCCTATGCTTCTGGCGTAATTTGCTGGAATTTTTAAAAAAAGAAACTGCGTAAAGGTATTTAAGATAATTTGGAATAAATGTTATCATGATAAATGAGAGCATATGGGAAAGTCTGGTGAAATGTTATTGTAATCACAGAAAAAGTACCACCGCAAATTGGTACCTACATTAAAAGCATTTCTCTAAGACATCTTATAAAATGGAAGCACTCAACTCATTTATTTTAAGTTATAAAACAAGAAATAAAGAGCTAATTATTTACAGGCATCGCATTACCCGATTAGTGTGCTGTAAACATTCCTCACTTTACTAAATATTTTGCTTGGTTTGTCAGGTAGAATATTTAGTTGAAGGCAGAAGAATGGTCGGTGAACACACGGTTCTTGGTAAGTATGCACGCGTTCATATTAATTTGTTTTATTAGATATATCGAAAATTAAAACAGTATTATTTCCCAAGTGATGTTTCGGAAACACTTAATCATATCATTAATGATAACTACACAACTTCCAGACTTTCGTTTTATGGTTTTCCTGTTTGTAGTAGGGGTAGACGGATATTCCAGATGTCTGGATGGGCAGGTATTGAATCATTCCTATTACCCGCACTTTTAGCTGATTCGATAAATAAAGCCTCTGTTGTTATCAGTCTCTCCCTCCACCATGTTATATTGGATTTTAGGACTGTCATCTTATCTCATCCTGTTATATAATTGTGTATAATTGCATTTAGTACTATGTCTGAACTATTCTCTAGATTTCTTATCTTATTCAGGTTAATTAGTCTAGATTACTGTGCTCCACTAGTCTGACTGACCGCATTCTCCTACTTTGACATATGTATTTGGCCTGACATTCATTAGTTAATAGTTTTCGATATTAAAAATTAGGCCATTCAGGCTCACCTAAAAATGATTAAATTTACTGACGAAAACTAATAACTGATGAAAATGCAAGAAACAGAAATGACTGAACACCTGCCAACCCGGATATCTGGAAAATTCTACGACACCTACCACAGATATGAAGGGATAAAGAAAACTATAAAACGAAAGTTTTGGAAGTTGTGTATCGCTAACTGGTGTCACCGTGAACATTAAATTTTGTTCGAGTAAACAATACTTTTTCACTGTGTGATATATCTAATCAATAAATTTATGTGGAATTACATATTACCACAGTGCTCATAGTCTGAATATATTTGAACTGCGAAAATCCAATAAAATTATGGGTTACAAACATTATATAATTTTTTAAAATGACGTATCTATGGTTTCCTGAAATTCCTAATTTTGGTAACACAGCATGGAGTTTCTTGAAGTACGTGTTGGTCAAAGAAATCATCATTTTAGAATGTGGTCAACGACAAAGGTTAAATAACCATAAAAACAAAATTTCATTTCCTTCATGTATTCTGATAAAACGTCGTCGGTCCATACTTTTACAGGTAGCCAGACATTCAGGATCTCCAGGTGTGCAACTGAAACAATGTAGTGATAAAGCCATCTAGCCTAAAAGTCGAACCTCAACAACTGCACATCAATATTTGGAGGACGTGGGATGGATTAAAGCGTGACACTGATTGCTTCAGATCAGAATTAGTCATTGTTTAGGTATAGCATTATGAAACTATATAATAAAATTGAAATGAAAGTAGGATTAAAGCTAAAACTACCAGTAACTGATAAGGCTTCTGTTCACTTTTAACTTCTCCGTGAGTTAGTTAGTAGAAGCGTCAAACTGCAGATCCGAAAAAAACGTATGTCGGAGTGAGCAACATTAAAAGTAATCGTACAGGATATCTCTTTACAGTTTAAACTCAAAAATGCATTTTTGGATGATAAATCTATTAAACGATATTCGTAAACTTTGGAAAGATAACTACGAAGTGATATCATGAGATCTTACTTTCATTTGATCTTCAAAGTGTCCAAGAATGTTATCAACACCGTTTCGGTTAAACTCTACACGTCATCATAAGTTCATGCAAACCAATTACTTGAAATAAAGCAATATTTTAATTGCTATGGATCTTCTATTTCAATATATAAAATGACTATCTGAGGCTTTTTTTCAGATATGCTACCAAACCTTTAACAAGAAACTAAAACATCTGGTGTGGTTTGAAGTTCTGAGTGTACTTAAATATAAAGTTTTCAGGTTACAATATCTGATTGCTTTTCCAGTCAACAAGTGACCTCTCATTGAAGTCACTTTTCTGTATACTGAGGTTATCTTTTTTTAGAATCTTTAGATTTTCGAAATGTCTGCTGAAGAAAACTAAATTGTTTTCTGTTTTATGGTTTTAATGCCGCCAGTTCATAGCATATACCGCGGTTGTCTAAGATTTAAATATTGGTATATGGAAACTGGGATCATCTGAAGACACTAACCGAATTTATTACGGGGATTAATTACCATGAATATCTTAAAGGTTATTTTGTATGTGTCCGAACGAACTTCACTTTTAACATTTTGAAAAATTCGGGCATTGGGTACATGATATTAATTATTATAAACGTTTTCACATTCCCTGATGAATGAAAACCAAAGTTTACATAATTTCAGCTTATACATAACAAAGTTAATCATCGTTCATCAGCATTGGGCGATTTGGCATTGTGAAGTTGGCCAATTAATAAAGATAACAAAACCAGATGTAGATTGTTGGATTTGATAAATGTATAAAATTATAACAGCATAGAGTATTTACACAGTGAAATTCCTTTCCACATTTGTGTTGATTTTGTCATTTCCTGAGGGAGGAGGAGAATTTTGTAACCGGGTCAAATTCTGTTTTAGTCCATCATTCGTATTCAGACAATTTGAATTCCACTTTATATGAAGTGCTTCTGATATTAGACGTTCTTTGTGATTTGACTGCATTCTTATTTCTCAGGAAGAAAGCAGAACACTGTGTGTAAGCGAAAGTCGTCCACTTCTTTGCTTACTGAGGTTGGTTTCCCTCAAGGCACTGTCCTTTCTCCTTTTATGTTTTCTTTCTTCTTGAATGACTTGCCTCACTATGATGACGAAATGAACTTTGATAAGCATACGGACAATCTAACTATTTCAATGTCTGTTAACTGCCAGCTTGACTGTACTAGAATGAACAGCTTTCCATCAAGAGTCTTTGTCTGACAGCCTTAAACTAAATCCTTCCAAATGTCAGACTGTTAATTTCACTTTCCGATGCAAACGAAGGTTAAATGAAGCTGTTGGTTCCTATGACCCTTGCAAAATTGATGATACTGATATAGAAATCAAGTCTGAAGTTAAGTATCTTGGATTAATTCTTTCTACTGAGCTATCCTGGTCTTCCCATGTCTCAGCGATTTCTAAAAGAATATTTCGTCTGACTTTTACATTAAGAAGTTAAGGCACTCAGGCATAACTCAACCAACGCCTCCTGTTACACTTTGTCAACTTGTTTATTTTACCTATTCTTCTGTACTGTTCGTCCTTATTCTTTCCTGGATTGCTTAAGAAAGACTATGTCATACTTCGTAGAACTCTGAAGACTGTCAGTAGGGCTAGTGGTGTCCCATTGGGCCACATCGTTGACATTGTCAATCATAGGCCCTTGATGTCATGCAAGAAATTTGCTAAAGGAATTTCGTCAGACTGTGAGCATCCACTCTACTTGCAGATTCAACCTTGTGTCTCCTCACATAAAACAAGAAGTTATTTCAGAAGAATTTATGCACGTACGTCTAAGTATAAAAATTCCACTATACCATATTTGGCAAGTATGTTACCGGATGAGAATAGTGTTAGGCATGAACTAACTAAATTTTTTTGCATTAATAAATTAACCATTTCCTCCACCCTTACAACATCAACATTTTATTGTTATTGTACTTCTTATATTTACAATGCTCTCATTTTTTTGTTTTTAATTGTTTGTTTCTTCATGTGTGAACATCATTTAAGCTCTGTTAGAACTGTTAATTTTGTATTTCCTCTCACTATAGTATATCAACAGAACATTAGATTCAATAACCTATAAAATGTTAAAATTTCCAAACTGAATCTACTAGTCTGTTTGAAACAAACTCATTGTTATTATTGTTATTGTATTTAATATTCTCAGTTCGTACTTAGAATATTTTTGACTTTATATCGTAAATGTGAACAAATTCCTCTGGTTACTTTTGTTTTTATTTTTAGTTTTATTCATATTTTAGCTAAATCAGAGGCAATATTGCGACAAATGGTGAGAATTCCTTTCTGTAATTTAAGTACTGTTCTCGGAATAAAGTAGATTATTATTATTTCTGAAATTTTTCTGGACTATTTCAATATTGTCAAAATCAATTTTGTCGCCTGATTCTATAGACTGAGGACCTATGGCTGACGATTTTTCAAGCTCATCTGGTTGACTAACTTACTATCTTGGTGGTCGAACAGATGCCCTCCGGTGTTCATTTCTTCTGACTTTGATTTCCCTCTAGTGATGTTTGTCTGATGTATATCGCATCACATTCCAACCATTTTATTCTATAGACACAATTAAATGGAGAATCTTTAGGGATTTGGTCTTTTATATAGACAAGGTTGCTACTCAGTGTGTCTGATGTTTTGAAGAAAACTCTAATTTCAAGCTTATGGAGTACTCTTCTAATATCGCCTCTGATCTAAATGAGCAATGATCAAATTTGTTATGTTCAAGCTGAAATTTTGTAAATTCTGATTTAATAACACTTTGATAAAGCCATTAGCGAAACGTCAGTAAAAACGATATCACTTTTTGGTTTTCGCTCATCAGGAAATACAAAAATTTTCGATTATTGGTTTTGTAGGGAATTTTGTTTGACTGTTTGGAGGAGCTGACATTGGTTAGAGAACCGTTAGGAAAACCTGAAAGGAGTACTAGACAGCTGTTTCGTTCTAGTGTAGGACTTTTCATCAGTATGCACCCACCTTGAGAGTTCGAACCGAAGGCCTTCTGGTTACATGGCTAGCGAGCTCGTATACCATTAAGCCATTGGGACACAATCTAATGGCCGGTGGATGAATTCCGTCAATTCATGATGCTCACTGGCCACTTGCTCTATTCAGGCAGTTAACTAGGATTCTAGTGGGTAGCCGTGACTAGTAGGGTACAGCAGGTTGAAGGTGAGGCAGTAACTCATCGAAAAAGACTCTGCTAAGTGAACGCGCTATGTCATGAATTAGCAGTAGCTGGAATTCATGGGCTGGCCATTGGATCGTGTTCTAGTGGCTTAATATTCTAAGACCAGAAGATTTCCAAACTACAGCTGGACAGCTGTCCATTACTCCCTTCAGGTTTTCCAATGGTTGTCCAACTGATGCCGACTCATGATGAAATCTTCAAACCAATCATATAAAAATATTTTTTTAAGCATATATTTAATTCTAACATTTTTAATCACCTACTGAATTTCAGTACTCCTTACTTTAAATAATTATTTTCTAATATCTGACGATTTTGTTTTGAGATTTTATAGGCACTCACTATATGTATATATTTATTTATTTATTTCATTTTATGAGTAGCTTTAGGACACGAAAGATTAGCGAAGAAAGCAACTCATAAAATAACTCAGTGGAATTATTACCTTTTATACGTTGATGACTACACACAATTACCTCTGGATTGTGACGATCCACCAACAAAAATTACCATAAAGTCGATAAAGCCACCACATTGGATTATACTTGGCAGAGTATATTATACAGTAACAGAACCAAATTGGAGACAATATGAAAGCCTTCATAAAAATTAAATGCATACGTCAAATTTCACTTGCACTATCCAGTATGTTGTGAATAAAAAGTGATTCTTAAAGGGATGTTTTTTTTATCTTGAATTAGGAGTTATTTAAATGCCAGTAAACTGTTTAATTCGTTTACAGACTTAACTTAACATTGTTTTTATTATTTTTTTTAAAAACAACAGTCATTATGCCACTATTCTTATTCTATTTAAGGAGTCTACTCAAAAAACATATGTATGCAGTCAACTCAAAATATGAATGATTAAATGTTAATGAAAATAAGCAAATATTGACCTAAAATTCGCGGCTTGCTTAAATCACTGAGCTACCGAATTCTGCATACCATCAGCCCCAGCGGGTTGATTACCGACGAAATCTCAGCACGGATATAGAAGGCTAGTTTCCGCATGCCAGTTTACGCCGTCTCTGGCGTAGGCGTGATATCCGACTATCGACCAAAGAGCGAGTGTACTGCTCAGCAGTTCGCTTCGTCCTGCTTTATGACTGTGAGTCATCGTCTTCCTTAGCGTTCAAACCGAAACATGGCACCAGTCAATGAAATTCACAACAGTTAGTTTAAGCTAGCCACGTAGGAAGGTGTAGACTGGCTTCCTGACTGGTTGGGGTCCTCGTCACGGTAAAAATCAATGGCTGGAAACAATTGGTGATATGGCTCAAAATTGCTCTGAATGATGCAAATTCATCCACTGCTTGTGACATGATTTCCAATGAAACTATATTGTTCTTCGTTATTACTATTCCCTCGTCTCGCACCTGTGTTTACTGTCTCTATTATGCATTTCTTGTACTTTCTTCTCTTGATTTGTTTGCTACATGGAGTGTGGCGACTTGAACTACTGCACATTCGTGCAAAGTTCTATGTCGAAAACAGACAGATAGAGAGACATAGGAATATGTCATATTTAATCTTTGTCATGTTAGATTAATGATCCAGTTAAATGCTTGAATCAGTGTCTCTCTGTATGCTTGTTTTAAATTACCTTTCAGCCTGTTAGTAGGAATTGTTTTGAAAGAAATGAGCATATTAGAGGGAGACTGTTTCAAATGATATATTACTGGTTATTATTAATTTACCGGAACATTCTGCACAAGAAGTAAACGCTTTCCAAAGTAATACACTGAGAACTTTGTGGTGTTTGAAAGAATATTTTGCAATTAGATTATCATTATAATTGTTCAATCCTTAAATTCCCAGTAGAAAATAGAATACTCCAGCCACATATCTCCATTTAAATCAGTTCAGCATTTTCAACTAGCTTTATGACTAACTACAGGCTTTAATTTCCTCCTAACATTATCTCCTGGATGTCAACTCGGGACTTTTAGCCCAGAGTCTAGTATTTGGTTCCACTCAGCCACTTAGAATATGATGTCATTTGAAATTCCTCTGAGAGTTAGTCCGGTATATCTTCATCTATTTTGTGCATACTTGTTGGGTATTACCTTCATGCGTCATTTCCATCCCAGCATTGCGAAAAACAAGAAACGTTGTTCAGTGACAAGTGTGTTTTCGCTTTAATATATAATATTTCCTTATTAAATGTGATAGTAAGAAAGGAATGGTTCATCACAAGAACAGCTGCTAGTAATAATCAGTACACATGAGAAGTCGAATAAGGATGATAGAATTACGTATTCAGACAAATAATTTGTAAATGACTTGTAATGATGATGCACATAGAAACAAAAGAAACTGTTTGTTACCTTGTAGTTCAGAAGAATAGATGAGACAGAAAGAGTCCGAGAAATAAAATAAGTAAAGCAGTTAGGCTGAAAATAATAAAGTCCTTATCACAACAGTAGAAGGGCGTGAAAGATCTCCCTTTGTATGTATGTATGTATGCATAGCTCTGGTTGCTTCATCTGGATACTTAGAGAATTAACAACATAAAAGAGACAAAAGCAGGTCATCTTATTGAGGTTACTTTCCACTTTATAGATCACCTCGAAGAAGGCGTTCGTTGAGGTAGAGTGGTCTGAATCTGAAAGGTGTTCAATTATTGCACTTCTCACAGAGTCGATGTCACGTTTCTGTAAATCTGGTAAAGATTCAAGGACAGTATTTCTCATATTCACAGAAAAATGACATCGACTTTGTGAGAAGTGCAATAATTGAACACCTTTCAGATTCAGACCACTCTACCTCAACGAACGCCTTCTTCGAGGTGATCTATAAAGTGGAAAGTAACCTCAATAAGATGACCTGCTTTTGTCTCTTTTATGTTGTTAATTCTCTAAGTATCCAGATGAAGCAACCAGAGCTATGCATACATACATACAAAGGGAGATCTTTCACGCCCTTCTACTGTTGTGATAAGGACTTTATTATTTTCAGCCTAACTGCTTTACTTATTTTATTTCTCGGACTCTTTCTGACTGATGTATCCTTCGGAACTCTTAGATATTTGGCCTTTTTGGTCCATTCAACTAGTAGAGCTCCTTACAGCTCATTTTGAAGTTGCTCACCCCACGGTCAAATACCAAATGGAGGTTTCTATAGAAGCCATTGTTATAAAATAAATTGAGAAAGCAGTGTCTGTTAATATAACTGAAGACATTTGTTTAGACGTGTTGGTCATGCATTATTAACCTGAATAAATAAGGTACAATTGACTGTAAATAAATTAGTGATAGTCTTCTCAAGGTACAGTATTTCTTCAACAGAATCAATGGACAGAAATTTAGACAAATCGCCTAGTTGTAACCGAAGGGGATCAGCTTGATTAAAGTATTGTATGATATCCAGACACTTACAGTTACATCTAAACTACCTATCGCCTGGAAAAAATCTTAGTGAACTAGGTAAATTTCATGCTGACATGAGGATGCACCTATGAATCCTACACTCTACATTGAAAACAAACAAAATACAGACATTCGCCAATTTCTTGATATGAAGGACGAATTTGAATTTGTCACTCTAAAGTGCTGTAAATGAATATGTAGTTTAGACGGAGTGCGACAAAAGTATATTATATTCAACAAAAACAGTCCACTTGGATTCTTCTGTCCGTACGACAGCTGGCGAAAATAAAAATCAACAACATTGCTGTAACTGTTGTAAATTTGCTGATGCAAGTGATTTCGTATAGTTTTAGTCTTTCAGCCCCTGACTTGCCATCAGGAAAAGATGTTTTTTGACTTAGAGCAACATGTCGATTAGTTTCACTTCTGATGTAAACGCTAACAAAACGCAGCCTTCCTAACAGTTGTACTAAAATGGGTGATATCAGCATGACAGCAACTTCAGAAACGGTTAGTGCTGACCTTTAGGTGCATGAAATGAAACTGATGAACATATTGATCAACTTCGACTAATTTATTGTTGAAGCCAGCTAAAAATCTGACTGTGCGTCGAAGCTTAAGCACTTCTCAGAGGTTCACTTCATATTACAATATTTCTGTCGAACAAGGCCTTCCAGACTAAATAAAACGTCAAAAAATATTAAAGACTGTTGACCATAACTTCTTTCTCTAATTACTTGCCTTAGCTGAAGCATGTTAAATAAACTTGATATTTAAGACACTGTGATGGGTAAGATAGGTAGATGGCAAATCATTTGTCGTCGATGCAAAGATACCATATTCCCTACTACCAAAAGTGAGATTCGGGTGAGAAATAGATGAACATATTAAATTCATTTAGAAAGTTAGAAATAAGTGATTGCAGCCTCTTTGTTAAATTGTACAGGATTACTTATCATGGAGTAGATGTATTCTTTCGTGATTATCTTTGGAATTCTGAAGTTGTTGATCAATCTTCACCTACCTTTCCGCTTTCAGTAACTCACGTTTATCAATTTCACAGCAGGTACATATTTGTTGCCACATTCTGTGTGATTACTCACGATGTTTTAGTAGCCTCTGCTTATTCACTAATCAGTCACTACGCTGACACAAAACATTCACTCACCTTATCGATATAAGTATAAAACTTGAGCACTGTGGTAGAGTGTAACTCCATTATAGATAAGATTTTATCTATAATGGAGTTGTTCACTTACCTTGATGAAACCATACATAAATTTAAATGTTAGTAATGGTAAATTTGCATTCTTTTGAACAAAAATAATAGACATTTAGTAAATAGTCTGTTATCGATGCAACACAGAGAAACGCTAAGAGAACTTAGAAGTAACGAAAGCTTAATTATTAACAAGCCAGATAAAGGCGACGGTATAGTTTTACTGGATAAAAGCGATTATGTTGATAAAATCGAAGGTATTTTGAATGATTTAACTAAATTCCAATTGCTTGGTGTCTCCAAAGACCTCAGTGTAAGAGTGGAGAAACTAATGACCGACTCTCTCAAAAAGCTGAACCTAATAGGCGTGTTATCATCAGCCACGTATGAGTCCATGAAACCAACGGGTACCAATGCTCCACGTCTCTACGGTCTACCCAAAGTGCACAAAACGGGTCTTCCTCTTCGCCCTGTTTTAGATATGTAAAACTCTCCATTTCGCGGAACAGCGAAGTGGTTAGCTAAGATTCTGGGTCCTTTGCACAGAAAAATTGTACAACATAGAATAAGTGATGTGTTCAACTTTATTTCAGAAATATCCAAGACGAATGTGACGTTTAAACGCATGTTATCCATGAACATATCATCACTACTCACTAACGTACCGCTCATGGAAACAGTCGATTATATTTGTCAAGAAATCACCTAAAGGCAATTAGACTTAGGAATCCCCTCGTGTAACCTCAAAGAATTACTTCTCAAATGCGCAATGAAAGTTCACTTTGTCTTCAATAGTCCTTACTACCGACAATTAGATGGAATAGCTATGGGTTCACCAATGTTAGTGGACTTCTTTCCCGCAAAACTTGAAAACGGGAAATTGGAAGACACCATCAAGGAGTTGGATATGTATTACCGATATATCGATGATACATTTATCTTAGCTGATGGGGATGCTAACATGAACAAATTGTTGCTAAAATTCAACAACGTCCACCCTCACTTCAAATTGAAGTATGCGCTG